AACCGGCAGTACGTGCCGCCCTGCTGGATGGCCAGGATCTCCTCGGCCGGCCGAGGAGCCTGCTCGATGAGGCCATGCTTCTCGGCATAATCGAGGATGGTGCCGACCGGGTGGGTGAGGGCTACCCCCGGCCGTTCCAGCCTCGGCCGCCAGTGGCGGTCTTTCTTACTCTGTCCACCTGAGCCGTGGCGGCCCTGGGCACCCTGGCCGGCCGGGGACGGACCCGAGGCCGGCGAAGGATTTGTCTTCTTGGGGGGATGGCCCCCCTCTCTCTTGTGATTGTGGAGCTCGTCGGCGTCGGCATACAAGCCTCCGCGTTGGAGCACCTTGGCTTACGACCTCGGGGGGGTTAGTGATGAGGCTCCTGGCGTACGAGGAGCTGCGGAGGGCTCCCTGGTACAAGGCGAGGAGGGTGCGCTCATCGGCCCCCTCGACCTCCTCTATCTCCCTCGTCCACCGGTCGATGAATGACCGGAGGGACTCCTCGTGCTGCTGTTTGACGGAGAGGAGGTGGGTGAAATACTTCTTGGCGCACTTCCTTCCGGCAAAGTGAGTGAGGAAGCGCTGGGCGAGATCTTGCCATGAGTCAATGCTTCCCTCTGGCAGTCTGTTGAACCACTCGTACGCTGGCCCCTCGAGAGTAGAGAGGAACCAACGGCAGAGGTATTCGTCTGACGCATTCACCATCAGCATGTTGTTTTGATAGCGGCTGAAGTGCTCCTGGGGGTCTGATCGGCCATCGTAGGACTTGATGGCGTTCCCCCTGTATTTCTCAGGGATGGGGGCCGAGAGGACCCTGTTGGTGAAAGGGGTCCTAGTCCTGACCTGGATGATGGGGTCACCCCGCCCTTCGGCCAGCTCCCTCTCCAGGGCGCTGACTTTGTTCATGAGCGCGTTGAGGCCGGGGTCGTTGGAGGCGCCGGCCGTAGGGATGTTGGCCGACTGCTTGGCCTCCATCTGAGCCAACCTCCTTTCCAGCTGGGCGATGACCTCGTCCCGGGGGTCCCTGTCGGCCGCGGCGGCACCCGGCTGGTTCCTCAGACGCTCGTTGTGAGCCGCGTTGATCTGGTGACGCACGTCATCCTCGTGCAACTTCCCCTTGCCCTTGTCCGGGCGGGGCTGGTCCGCTGTCCGGGACACAGACCCCAAACTCTCCCTCGGCGAGCCAGGACGAGGATCACCAATCCGTCCCGCCATCCTTTCTGAAACCGGACGACGGCGCGTGTCACCTAGTCTATTGAAGGCAGAGGCTTTTCCACGCGCTGGGGTCTGCCCGGGCCGAAGAGGGGAAGCAGGGTGGGAGTGGGACGACGCCGTGTCCTGGGCCACAACCCCCTCATTGTTGCCTATCTGGACGGCCAACGGTTGGGGATGAGGAGGTGGAGTGACGTTCCCCCCGGTCCTTGGCAAGAGTGCGCTGAGGACGGTGGGATTCTGAGCCAAGCTGGCGATGATAGCCGATAGTGCAGCCTGGACCTGAGGATCTACGGACGGAGAGGCCGCGGCCATAGGCTGGGCCGGGGCGTGGTCCGCTTTCTCAGCTCGTTTCTTTTCTAGGCCGAGGCGGGCGTCGGGGACTCCGCCGTTGAGTTGGTTGCGGAGGTCCGTCGTGAGGTTGAAGGCCTCCTGGAAGAGGTCCCCTCCGCCGACCTGGTCGGCCGTGGCGTCCTCATCGTGCTCCCTGGGCTCCTGGTCCTCAGGGATGACTTTGCTGACGAGGTTGCGGTTTGACTTAGTTCTCCCCATGATCAGTGGTTAGCTGTGCTTGGTAGCGATGAAGGGTGCTAACTCGATTGTTCTAGCTCTCAACGAGAGCACCAAATGATAGAGTATATCTCTTAGATTCTAGAGAGAAGTGAGAGCTAGAGAGAGAAGTGCAATAATATGCTTCAATAGAATGAATTTGTCACCCCTATAACTACTCCCAAAGGGAGTATTTATAGAGAAAATTAGGGTTGGGCTCCCAAGCCTTGGGCTTGGGAGGCCCATTTACAACTGGACCGCTACTGGGCCGAATACAAAGCCTCTAATGGGCTGTACAAATGAGCAAGTATAGAATCCGATTCTGGGAGGTCTTTGTGGCCGACGAGGGCGCGGCCGACGAGGGCACGGCCGACGAGGGCACGGCCGACGAGGGCACCCGGGTTCCTTGGACTCAGGACCACAATCCGAGTTGGCTTCTTCTCGGCCGACGGGGGCGTCTTGGCCGACGAGGGCGTCACTCTGTTGTCTTGTGCTTTCTGTTCTCCCGAGTATGTGGGTCCTGGGGCTCAGACCCATATACTCCATCAGTTATATAAAAAAGTTTGTCACGGATTTGTCACGGATTTATCCGTGACAACGCTTTTTCCGTACCGTATTATTAAAGGTTACTGATGGAAAATCAATAATTGAGGTTTGTCACGGATTTTGTCACGGATTTGTCACGAATTTGTGACAGATTTTTCCATCCGTGACAAAGTTTTTTTGAAATTTGTCACGGATTTGTCACGGAACAGTCCGTGACAAATGCCCGGAAGCAAAAAAAGTATTCACCGGAGTAAAAAACCGGTCGCCGGAGTACATTTGTCACGGACCAAATCCGTGACAAAATATTGTCACGGATTTTGTCACGGACCTATCCGTGACAAAACATTTTTGTGACAAATCCCAATATTCTGTGACAAAGCCCGTGACAACTTTGTCACGGCCGTAATCCGTGACAAAAATCCGTGACAAACGGCGTGTTTTTTGTAGTGATTGTAGAGTACACTGTTTGACACTGTTTTGCACAGTGTGGCACTGTTTGACACTGTTTGGTGTAGATTTGTAAGACAAATAAGGAAATGTAAAATTTAACCTGGTATTGAAAAAAAAAAGGAAGTGTAAAGATGATTTAGAATGGGAGGGAGTATAAGATAAGATATCACTTTGGAGCAATCTTGTTATGATTGCTCTTAACGTTAATTCAACCATCGCTACTCTTTTTACCTTGGGAGTCATGAAACGGGGGATTGGGGGCCTTGAGTAAATTGGGATCAAACTCACTTTATTGAATATTGAATTTGAAACATTCCATAAGGGAAAATAAGTCTGCGGCCGGTTGACCTGCATCACTTACTCATTCAATCATCTGTACTACGTGGTATAAAGTTACGATTTTCTTAGCATGGATAATGTTGGAGCTTGTACATATTAAGTCCAGGGAAATCAATTTCAAATTATATTTCCATATACAAACCATAGTGAAAAAGCAGACAGTATTTCCGCCCATTTACACGGGTCAATTACGGGTCGGACACCATACAAGCATAAGGCTAATTGCAACTCTCTCCGTCAATAAATCTAATTCCCCACTAGTTTTACGTATTCATCCGGTGAATCCATTTTTTCTCTGCAACCCAGCACCGTCAGTATATTCAACTAACACAATTCATTTTTATTTAAGTGTATGATTCCTTACTTTTATTATTACACATTATTTACGTGACAAAACTTCTTTTACAAATAATTATTATTTAAAAAGTTGAATTCTGATGTAAACAAACAAAAAAATGAATTTAATTTTTTTAATTACTAAAAACTGCATACTAGAGTTTATTTTAAACTAAATTATAATTACCAATTACAATATACAATATTACTATATTATACAATATTCCTTAATTCCTATATTACCATAAAGTTTTTTTAATGGAGCAGCAGACCCCGGCAACCAAAAGGTCCAACACTTCTAAAAAGTTTTTTTTATCAGTGGGCGTAGCTCAACTGGGAACAAGGGAGTGCCACAAGGATTAGGTCTCGGGTTCGAATCCCGGCAACTGCGATGAGGTTACTATGCTAAAAATGTATAAGACCTCTGCAAGTACCGGAGACAGAGCCTCACTTCCTATCTGTCAGATTGGGATTATAATTTAATTTACATCCTCCCAATGCACCATCCGGTCGGGATTAGGAGACCCTCAAGGATGGGGTGTCATTTTTTTTTAGTTCTAACAAGTTTTTTCTTAAACGCAACGGAGCATCAAATAGCTGCTACCCTTTCGGCAACCTAGTCGCATGCCTAGCAATTGGCTGCACGACCAATAGCTAGCCGCATAGAGCTGGAGTCAACAAGGGTTTTGGTACCCGCATGAATAGCTCACTTGGTCGAACGGTGGAAAAATTGGATCAAATGACCAAGGTTCAAAATCCGCAGCGCCCGTGTGGAGATTACAGAACCTGAAATAAGGCTGGACTTCTGGTGCGCACGTGTATAAGGCCTACCGCAGCTTTACTGACTGAGTCATCGTGATTAACCTCTCCACCATCCCGTCGGGTCGGGGTGAAGGACTCCTGGGATGGGAGATTCCACCTCTTGGACCAAACAAGGGTTTTGGCTATTCAACCAAGGGTGCCCTACATTCAGAAATCACAAACACACCTGATACTCCCTCCATCCCATAAAATTCTTCTTACTTCCCATTTTGGGTCGTCCCAAAAAATTCTTCCCATTTACCATTTTTGGACAATTTGTGTGGTTCACATTCATTTCACCTTTTTCTTACACAATCACAACTATATATTTCCACTTTATTCCACTTTCTTAATCTCCGTGTCAAGTCAAAGTGTGAAGAATTGTATGGGACGGAGTAGTACTTTTTTCTATGGGTTCCGACCTAAGTAATAAATCTAGTACACGCATTTAATTTTTTTATTCATTTGTGGTAGATATTTGTCATTTCAAAACTTTTTGATAAATTAAATGCACAACTATTCCAAATCTTGAATTCAGTAGCAAAAGGTGAAATAGGGTGAAACAACATTCGAGATCTTGAGTTCATTTCGCATCCAATCCATCATTTCAATAATTTTCCATACATTAAATGCATTGCAGTTCTATATCTTATTTCTTGGCACAAGATATTTAATTTGTTGTGATCTTTGTAGTAAAAAGGCATTAAATGGATTACAACTACTCAATGCCATTCCCATCAATAAATAAGAGTACTCTAGATATCTGTTGATAATTAAGCGATTATCTATGGGATACACCATTCTTCCACAAATAGTTCCAGGTTTCTTTTTTGAGTCGTTCCAAAAAATAGTTTTTATTTTCTCTTTTGAAAAGTTTTGTATGGCTCACGTTCATTTACTTTTTGTTACACAACTACAATCATACATTTCCGCTTTATTCTCAATTTCTTAAACTTCGATCTAAGTCAATGCGGGAACTATTTTATGGGACGGAGGGAGTATTACATTAATAAAAAATACATTAATCAATGAACAAAATACTGGCCCAATGTTGTTTAAACAGGATTTCTTATTCAGTTTAGCAGCACATCCCACAATCACACACCACACAACAATGGCACAAAACACAATTGGAAGGTGGTCACAGGCTCGCAGATCAAGGATGTTCCTTAACATAGAGGTGCTTATATACATTTCACGGTGTGTTTTTATTTCATAAAATGTATACGTAGTACAAGTGCTTGTTATGAAAAATCTAAGACAATTTAAATTGCTTAAACAACTAATGTGAAATAAATGTTATACTTTCCTAGTACATAGCTGCTTAAGTTGTGACAAAAAACTGGATTAATGGTTTTGAATTTTTTGCAATACGATCAAGCTCGACGACTATATGTTATAAAACAAGCCACATTATTATCGTCTCTTCCTGAATCCTTTCATTTTCTCATTGAATAAATAAGAGCATCACCAATGGTGCTATGTCCACATTAAAAAACACTGCTGCATCACCCATGTTGACATTGTTTTTTATATTTATGTCTCCAATGCTTTGTATCCGTAGTAATGTAATGCTTATGTGTGAAAATTAGATGTGGACAATGTTGTCAAAAATGTCTTTGTATAACAGCGTGTTTAACAGTCTGACTCACCAATTGGAGCAGTTTTCATGAGCATTAGAATTTTAATATGGTAATTTTAATTTAATTTAAAAACAAAAAGCTTATACGTAAAATTTATACGAGTTGTTAACACTACCCATTGGAGCAGTTTTTTGGGTTCGACTATTTATTTACATAGCTATGAATTGACATGGAACAACATTCCATTTATTGATTGACAAGTGTTAAAATTTATTTCATGTTAACAATGTAGCATTAAAGATGCTCTAAGTATCTTTGGGCCAAACTGGATAGAGTCCTTATGAACTCTCTTTGGTCTGCCAACAACATTACTTGTAACACTCACTTCTTTGAAATGGAAGTTGATTGTGATCATTGTGCCTCCTTGGTTACCATTGGCCATAACATGCGTGTTGGATCTAGGCCTTTCAAGTTTTTCAATATGTGGCTTAAGCATGAAGTCTTCACTAATATTTTGACTAATCATTGGTTTCAAGACTTACATGGCACTCCTCAATTTAGGCTTGCCTGCAAGCTTAAAAGACTTAAAGGACCTTTGAAAGAGCTTAATTACAATGCCTTTGGGCATATCTCCGAAAAGGCCAAGGCTGCCAATATTGAATATAAAAGAGTTCATGCTCTTTTACTCCTTTCCCCTCTTGATGAGGACATTAAGAATGAAGTTGCTTTGGCCAAGAAGAGTGCTCTTTACTTAAAGAAAGTCGAAGAGGATTTCTTTAGGAAAAAAGCTAAAGCTAATCACTTATTCCAAAGTGACCGTGGTACTAAATACTTCCACTCTATTGTCAGAAAGAATGTGGTTAAAAACTCCATTATGTCTATTAAGTTAGCAAATGGATATCCTACCACTTCTTTGGACCAAGTTGGTTGTGAATTTGTTAGCTTCTATACGGATCTTTTTGGCTCTTCCGACCCTAATGTGGAGATTGATCCTGACATTATCCTTTCTGGTAAATGTATAGATAGCTCCAAAGCTACTGAAGTCATAGCCCCGATCTCTGACATTGAAATTAAAAACGTCCTCTTTGACATAGGAGATAATAAATCTCCTGGGCCGGATGGCTATACTTCTGCCTTTTTTAAGCATAATTGGGACATTGTTGGCCATGATGTCATTTTGGCTGTTAGGGGCTTCTTTAATTCTGGCAAGCTGTTAAAACAAACCAACCATACGGTTGTTGCTCTTATACCTAAGACTTCTCATGACCCAAGTGCGGCTGATTTCAGGCCGATCTCTTGCACTAATGTCATCTATAAGGTTATTACTAAAATCATTGCTTCTAGGATGATTCCTTGTTTACCTGAGCTTATTGATCCCTCTCAAGGGGCTTTCATTGATGGGAGACTTATGCTTGATAATGTTTTCATTGCTCAAGAGCTTGTCAAAGGCTATACTAGGAAGCGTATGTCTCCTAGATCTATGATCAAGGTTGACCTTAGGAAAGCCTACGACACTATTTCTTGGGATTTCCTTAAGAGTGTTTTGCTTACTATTGGTTTTCCTACCAGATTTGTTCAGTGGATTATGGAATGTGTTTCCACTTCTTCTTATTCTATTTCCATTAATGGGATACTTCATGGACATATCAAAGGTAAGAGGGGGCTCCGGCAAGGTGACCCTATGTCACCTCTCCTCTTTGTTGTCTGCCTTGAATATTTCTCTAGATTGCTTCATATGAGAAACAAAGTCTCTTCGTTTAAGTTCCACCCCAAGTGTGGTAAACTTAATATCTCCCATGTTGCTTATGCTGATGATCGCATGCTCTTTTCTAGAGGGGATTACCCCTCTATTAAAGTTCTCATTGATGCTCTTGAGCAGTTTGGTACTGTCTCTGGGCTTAGAGTTAATTTTGATAAGTCAAACATTTTTCTTGGGGGTCTTGTTGATCATGACCTTGCTCATATCCTTGACTTAATTGATTTCAAAGAGGGGACTTTCCCTGTTAGATATGTGGGCATCCCCTTAGCACCGCTTAAGATTGCGGTGGCGCAATATGCTCCACTTTTGGAGTCTATTACTAACTTCATTACTGCTTGGAACACCAAGTCCCTTTTCTATGCTGGGAGAGTTAAACTCATTAAATCTGTGATACAGGGAGTTCACTCATTCTGGCTTCAAGCACTCCCTATCCCTAAGACTGTTTTGGACAGAATCACTTCTATTTGTCGTATTTTCCTTTGGGGGTGCAAATTTGCTAGAGTGGCGTGGGCTGATATCTGCCTCCCTAAAGAGGAAGGTGGGCTTGGCATACATGACAACCGTGTTTGGAACTCGGCTCTTTTAGCTAAGACCCTTTGGAATATTCATATTAAAAAGGATAACCTTTGGGTTAGATGGATACATGGTGTTTATCTTAATGGAAAAGGTGTTTGGGAGTTTACACCTCACAAAAGAGACTCACAACTGATTAAAAAGATTGCCCGGATTCGTGATCAAATCTTGAGCCATTTTGCTAACATCCATGATGCGGTTACTTTTCTCAATGGTTGCCAAATTAATGGCAAGCTGTCCTCGGCTAAAGTCTATAATCTCCTTGGAATGAAGGTGGGTACTCATATGTGGATGTCTTTCATTTGGAAGAACTATATCCCCCCTAAGTTCTCTTTTACGGTTTGGTTGGCTTTCCGTAACCGGCTTGCCACTTTTGACAATTTACATAGGTTGGATGTGGTTAATATTTGCCCATTGTGTAATGGTGGTCCGGAAACGGTACCATACCTATTTTTTGCTTGTTCTTTTGCAGGTAATGTTTGGCATAAAGTGAGGACTTGGCTGGATATTCCAAGGGAGATGGGAACCTTACATAGCGCCATGAAGTGGATCAAGAGGAAGAGGCAAGGAGCGGGAGTAAAGGCTAAAGCGGCTAGGATTGCTTTCTGCTACTCCATCTATTGGATTTGGAGAACCCGAGATGCTACTTGTTTTGATGGCCTTGTTCCCAAAGAAGATGATGTTTTTGCTAAGATTCAGCATATTGTTTATAAGCTCTTATATAGGCTATATCCATATGAACTTGTCCATATTTGATGCGCTACGTTTTTTACCATCACGTCTTGGTGATTGGACTTTGTAAGCTGCATGTTTTTTTGGTTTTTTGGTGCCTCACCCTCCTGTTTTTGGGTGCTGGCCGTGGGCTTTTGTGCTGTCTGGGAGAGGTTATCCTTGTTGGATAACCTTGCATTTTTGCTCTCTTTTACTTGTACATTCTTCCACCCCTTCTTTTCTTAGTTGTGTTTTAATATGCTTACCGTTCACTCAAAAAAAAGATGTTCTAAGTACTTTAATATCAAAACAATTGGTAGGCTTGAGACAACGATAGATATTAATATTTGTTCATGGCTAGCTAATACATTTTTTTATATTTGATATCATTGCATATGAAATTTAAAACTGACGTTTGGTGTTAACATGTTATAGAGAGATCCGATCCTTCGTTCTGAATTTGGAATTGTTTCATCCTTTCCAAACCCATAAATTTATTTTCTTTTTCGCCTTCGATCTCTTATTATTTCAAGACTTTTAAAATTTTCTATCCGATTTTCCAACTGGATTCTCCTCCCTCCATTTTGAAAAGGTTCGTCAAATTGCTTTTTCTTGGTCGATGACAATCAACTTTAACCAATCATATTTTTTAATACGAAATTATTTAGAATATGAAAATTATGTCAAAATGTTCTTTATTCAAAATATTTTCATAAAAGTATAAAAGTTATGAATTATATACAAATATAATAATTAAAATCATTGTCAAAAATTTGTCATCATTTTCAAAAAAAATCAATATAGCATTCCTTTTCGGGACGGATGTAGTACGTATTGAATAGAGTATTATTAGTTAAAAAATCTTAAATGTTAAAACATCTATGAATTAGTAATTTTTTTAGATAATTACGCCGACCCATAAAAACATACTGGCACTTATATTAAATACAATCTCCCAATTGGAAACAAATTGATAATCAAGCTAACGGAGCATGCGGAAAAAGGTAATTCATAAGAACAATCATAATCATGAAAACCAAGCATTCCAGTCCAGCTGATTGTGAGGTTATCGTGTATAGTGGAAAGTCTCGAGTTCGAAACTCACTGAACACATAAAGAGTTTGAAGTTCAATGGAATGAGTTTCAACCCTGATTACTACAGACCCCGTATCCCCTCCCCCAGACCTCCTGGAGTACAAAAAAAATCATTATCATAACATAGAGATTAATTCTGTTCCACACAAATAGATAGTACTGAATTCCGCCGGCGTGCAATTATATTAGGTGATCAAGATGCACCTGCTGGGCGATCCATCTAAGGACACCAACCTCAGTGGAAGACGGTGAATTGTGTACACTCCAGGAACAACTTCGTCCAGTTTTAAATCCTCCACAGGAATGATATCCTTAGCATTTAGGAGCGTCATATGGACCCCGACAATCTGAGGGACAATTGCAATAGCAATAGATAGATAATCTATGCCAACAAGTTTGATGTCAGTGTTCTCGACCAAATACCGGGCTCCGTCATAGTGAAGCCGGTGTAAGAGGAATCAAATGCGGATTGATTCATCAGATTTCGGTCTGTGTTGAGTGTTTTGAACAGCGCACGCTTCACTCCTCTTGGTATATTCAATGACTTCGTGACCTCAGCGGTGATCAGGGGCGGACCGTAGTAGAGACCCAGGGGGCTACCGCCCCCCAACAAATTTTTTTTAATGTATATATATAGGAAAAATAATTTTTGCTCTTCCAAAAAGTATTTTGAATCCCAAAAATATTTTCGCCCCAAAATGACTTTCCTAGGTCCGCCCCTGACGGTGATATTTTTGTTCCGGGGAGTGTCAACCATCAATACTGGGCCATTTAAAGTGCGTAGATCCAGAGAGTTGACATCATAGCCTTCGTCCATTAGTGTCTGGTTGAAGTGGCTGGGAGCATCGACATGGGTGCCGCAATGGGTGGAAAGGTTGAAGGTTGCCGAGTTGGACTTATCTCCCTTCGCAATGCTGGACACAGGTGTAAAGAACGGCTGCAGCCCATGAGGGCCGCCGAAGAAGTAGGGCATGCCGACCACATACTTGTGGCTGATGTCGATGATGGTCTTGTTCCTGAACGCGTTCTCTTCTGTCTGAAGGTAGGCTAGTTGGTCGGCGGTGATCACCTCAGCCCATGAGCCGCCACATGCCCATGTCAACGCCACCAGCACCGACCACGGCACAACGACGGGTTGCTTCTTCATCATTCTGGCCGTCAGGGATATGATGGGGTTTTTTTTTATACGGAGTATACGATAGTATGTAGGAGCTTATCGATGTGATGTTGGAAAACTGAATGAGGATGTATTATATATACATAGTTACTAGCTTGTGGGCTTACGTGTGCTCTCATACCTTACAAAAAAAAGGAAAAAAGGATGACACCCCATCCCTGAGGGTCCCCAACCCCGACCGGACGATACGTTAGGAGGATGTAAGTTGGACTATAATTCCAATCTGACAGATAGAGAGTTAGACTCTATCCCCGGTACTTGCAGAGGCCATGTATATTTTTTATCATAGTAACTCCTCATCGCAATTGACGGGATTCGAACCCGGGACCTAACCCTTGTGACATTCCCTTCCTACCAATTGAGCTATGTCCAACGGTTGCTCTCATGCCTTACAAAACATGACATGTTAATACCGAGTATGTGATATGTGCAGAAATTTTATTATGCACGTGACGTGCTCGTCAGAGAACATTTAGGTACAACGTAGCCCAAACTAGGATGATTACTAAGCTTCGTTATTAATTTTTGCATGGAGTATTAAATTCAAAACGCTCAACGATAATTCTTAAATAATCTGCTCAACGATGATTCAAAATGCTCAACGATAAATTTTTTTTTATCTGCTTTCATACAAATTTGAAGGGTAGGTGTCTCAACTCTCAATATGATTTTTCAATCTTTTTTATTCAAGTCTTCATTTCATAAATTAAAGTATCAACCTAGTTAATTCCTAATCTTACACATGTTTCTTGCAATAATTTTAATACTACGTATATATTATAGAAATTACAGATGCTATTTATTCATTTTTCACGTAATTAGAAATTGCTCAATATAGAGCTAAAACACCGTCAATTACTCCGAATGATATTAAGAGCCGTTTGGTAACTCATTTTTCCCCTTATGAGCCAATATTTTTCAAGCACGTAATTTTTTATTTCACGCATTAAATTGTGTAATAACCGAATCAAGTGAGGTTAGAGTTAATTTAGAGAGCAAATTTAGCTATTTTTCCTATAATGTTTTTGTCATTTGTTGATGAAGTATATTCTCATATATCCCAAGGGAATCAACATTTACGAACAAATGATCTCCCGAATCCAGTAAGTATATTTCCCTACCGAGGCCGAGTTCGACCTCTCCCGATGTTAACATCAAATTCAGTGCTCTGACCGAGCTTGAGGTCAACTGGCGCTTTGCGGGTTGATCACGGAGAACATCACTACTTCACATAGACAAACTGAGATAACGCTCCCTTAAACAAGTCGTTGATTATTTAGTTTTGTTGATTACTAACCTTAAACTGAAAAGAACACTATCCTTAGGTCCAAAACAAATGACAATGATTTGTCATTTAACTAACCATGCAGGTGGACCTTTGGATAGAACTACGATTGGGTCTATCGGGGACGAACTTAGTTCTGGTTGATTTAAATAATCGTCATGGTTGATAAATGAATTAATTGATATATGCCTGCATCTCACTAGTAGAAAAAGGGTCTATAGTGACACTAATTTAGTGTCGCTGAAACTTTCTGTGACACTTAAAAAGCGTCGGGGAAAGTGGGGGCTAGCGACACTAAATATAGTGTCACTGATGCGAGGACGGTTTTGTGTCAGCAAATTATGACACTAATGTATCTCCTAAAATAGCGACATTTAAGCATCAAGGACACATTGTGACGTTAATACATCACAAAATTTAATGACACTTCAGCATCATAGATTTGTATGACACCTCAGCATCATAGATTTTTATGACACCTCAGCATCATAAACACTATGAAAACACACATGATATATTGATTACAATATATATAATATAATATAATACTAATAAATAACCATAATATCAAAGTTTTTTATTTATATCTCAAATTCTCACATAAATGTGAATGTACATAGTACATAATTCATAGGGGCATCCCCAAAACAATAAATATCACAAAAGAACAAAACGCTGACTAGTCCAACTTTTACACCATGCTTCACAAGGCGTTCACATTCTTCTTATATGTAGACATCACATTTTCTTCTACACAAAATGAAGCCATCATTCTTATACTGCCAACGCCACTAGGAAACATTAACAGTTGCACTGAATCCCTTGTTATACACTTATACTTATTCCTGAGAATAAGGCTTTTTCTTAAGGCTGGCCCTCTTGTTTGGGTGCGACCAGACCATGTACCTCTCCTGTCAAGGCAAAGTTATGTAGCATAAAATTAGTCTAAATGAAGATTAATCAAGAATAAATGATAATAAATGTTTATTAAAATTGGAAGCAGATGGATATGAGTGATACCAGCAGCGAACAATCTCTTAAGATGGACACCAGTTGAGTCCTTTAATATAGTTGCAAATTATTAACAATTGATCATCAGATGCATGGATGATCTAGAGATTAGCTGACCAAAAGATGGACTAGTGACCCCACAATTTTATCCCATGAACAAAAAAACTAGTAGGTCTTTAGACTACTATAAACTAACCACAAAAGAGATAAAATACCTGCAAATTGAAGGCAAGATAACCACCTCGGAAATCAGAATGCACAGTATGGTCATTGACACTAGATATAAAAGCAGAGAAAATTAATTACTCTGTGCTACTATCTGTCATACTATCGTTTGAGATAAAATTGTGTGGCTTAGGAAGATAGGCTACATAAACTCTGTTTCGGAAAGAGCTCATACGTGTACAAGATCATGTAGGAGAAAAACAAAAACAAAAATGCTACTGCAGGATATGACAAGCCTGTATTTAGTCTCAAGCCACAGTTATAATCAACTAGCCTGAATCAATTATAGATTTCATATTGAAAAGGGTCAGGCTATCCTCATAATTCTTAAAAGGCATCCAAAAATGAGTTCCATAATTCCATGATCCTTGTACTCACCTAAAATCCCGTATTTGCAATTCGTAAATACTGATGTCAGATGTGGAAAGCACATCTGGTTTCTTATTCCCCAGATTATCCCATCCTTAAGGCTTTAAATAATCACACTCAAGATCAACGAACAATGTAACAAGACAGTATAAGAAAATTGATAACAATTTTAACATATATATCAACACACTTATTAAACAAAGACACCAGTATACCCTCTTGAGTACGGATCACAAGTTAGTGGTTTCTCAATCCGCAAGGTAGTGTGATGATAGACAGAGACTTTCGTATGCATAGTAATACCCCTCCCTATCCCTTGAGAGTGTAGCAACCCATACACAACTTGCATTCGCACAACCCTACTAGGGGTAAAGCAGCGCTGAAAAGTACTCCATAATAAAGAGTGACAAAAGCAATGTAAAAAACATGGGGAAAGACCAAAAATGAATAGTCTGTATTGTTGCAGTTGGTGCCCAGAGGTAAAGAGAAATTGCTTGACATGAAAAAACAGCACCAAGTGGACCAGTGTAGGAGAATAATTCATCTATGATACCAGGTAGCTGCAATCCAGTAGCACACTTGCATTTTCCATCAGCTACATCGGTGCAATCTGCCCCATGTCAGTGTAGTAGATAAAGATTCATTCAAATAGAATAAGTGTCTCGAGAAAAACCAATAAATATTTTCGAAATATATTAATAACTATAATAATACAAATATACAATGAAAATGCCTTTACCTGGACTGCTGGAGAGTGGAGAAGATGCCTTTACCTGGACTGCTGGACTGCTGAATTGAAACCTAGGAATCCACTCTATGTTTGAAAATGATAAGTAGATTAAAAGTAAATGAGTAGAATGTGCTTTTCATCATACTTGATGGCTAAAGCTAGAGATATAACAATAATACATTGAAGAGAAAACACAAATCAAACAACATTAACAATAATCAAAACTTGCACATTCAAAATCAAAGTAGCTACAAAGACGAAAGATATTGTACAGTTTGTGAAATTGGTCGGACAAGTTGGTTTATTTGTTCATCTAAGGATTGTTCATTTAAGGGGAATTACTATTTTATAATAGCATTGCAAACTTGCAGCGGGATGATAGATATTACAAGCTCATACAAGTAAATAAGTAGATAGGCAGATAGTAATATTAATAAACAAGTAAATAAAGATTGTTAAATTCGTATACTATTTTTAAATACTAAAACATCAAAATCAGAAAATTATATAACTCAAACACGTTAACCTCAACAGTTAAGGCTCAACGTAACCTAAAGGCCTGAACAAGTAAACAATTAAATAATTAAAACAAAGAAGTGCAATAGTGAGAATTTTACCGGAAGCTCATAGCCTGAAGCGTGGAAGTGTCTAGTGAATCTGGAAGACCGAAACACCTTCACCAAAGGATGTATCAAAGATTTTGTATAAATCAAAAGTACAAAAACGTAATTCTATTTTTAAAACCTACACTTCCACCTCAAAGTAACAAAGAACTACAGTTCCTTAATCGCAACTTATTTGACCTTAACTTCCACTATAGAAAATAGATAAAACTAAACTATCAATATATAGATTAGGATAATTAGATCTAGTATGCCATCATTTCAAGATAATTCAAAAGGCAAAAATGGGAAGAAGATCACAAGAGGTATTCAATTATTCACGACAACTCCCAAAAGAAAAAGAAAAAACACCCAAAAATGAGTAAGGACTAAGCATTATTTCAACACACAAGCTATTGAATTAAACAAAGGTAGGAAAGGAGTATGTGTATGCATAGTAGATTAAAATATTTCCACGTTTACAAAGGCAGAAAGTCACCTTAATCTAATGTGACTCGAGAAAACTATAAATCTTAAGAGACTAATGGCAATTTCATTTCCCATTTTATAATATCAACTAACACCACATTAGCAATCAAACATTGTTTCAGTTCTCAAATTAAAAAACAACATAACAATGGAGATAAGGGGAAAAGAGAAATCAATTACAGAGCTTCTAAAACAAACAAAACAAAAACATAGAGAAGCAGAAAGCCCTAGGCTGAAGCCTAAAAGACAGAAGAATAGCAAAACCGCAATTAAAGAAACTTCCATTAATAAACCAATCCAAAACTGACGATCAATTCTCTGCACATCAAGTATGGTTTAGCCATATTTAACACATTAT